CCTTGCTCCTCCTTTCACTGATTATGGGACTTTGCTGTGAGGGAGATGTATGCCTATGAGCAGGCGGTTCCTTACTTTGGGTTGCCATTTCAGACAGCTTAGACTTTTGAGAACAGGCTTGAGTTGGAGAAGGCAAAGTTGTATATAAACTGTGTTCATGGCTAAATGTTTGCTTCCAGGGGAAAGGTGAAAAATGCTTTGTACTTTTTCCCTTGGCTTTTTCTTCCAAAAGAGCTTGTCATGCAATAAGAAAAAGTGGCCAAGGGCAGAAAAACCTCTTCTCTTTTCCAGGTTGCTTTGTTTTTATTGTAAGACTAACCTTTTATGTTTTATTGTTATGAAGCTTAAACCTGGCCTAGAGGTGCCAATCTTTAGTGGAAACAGCTGCAGAACTGGTGTCCCCTGGTCAGGTAGGACTTGCTTTGAAGCAACATGTTGCTTTTATAAGAGAAATGAGCATGTAAGAACCTGAGTCTGTAAAACTCATCAGCTTTCCACTATTATTTATCTCTTAAGTAACTGAGATAGCAAGCTTTAAGTAAAACAGCACTATTAAAAATTCATTTATGAATTACATTTTTCTGAAGAGAATAGTCTTTCTTATGTTTAAAATATAGAAATCCAAGGGGGTATTTGATTGTGCGCCAAAATCATTATTATTTTTTTATTTCCAGAACCGGGGATTGAACTCAGACTCTTGCGCTTGCCAGGGAAGCACTTATTCTACTGAGCCATCTCCCTGGCCCCAATAACTTAAGAATTGAGGATGTAACCTCCCCTTTTTAACTAAGACCACAGAGCACATTTTTTGACCCTGCCTTTTGACTAGTCTGACCTGTGATTTTGAGCTCAGATTTTTGCTTGCAGATAAATGCCTTTAGTAGGAGCAAAACTGGGTAGTTGGACACATATATCTGAATTCTAAAGCTGAAAGATTTTTTGCTTCTATTGATTGATGTGGAAGTGTTCCTCATATTTTTGATTGAGCGATACTGGTAGCAGTGGATTTAGCATCATTCTTGGTCTCTTGCTAGGAAAAGTTGAGCATCGGAGAGCTTTCTTTCCTTGGGGGAAAATAGAAGAGACAGGCATGGAGTCAGAAGGACCAGAAAAATGCTGAAATATTTTCCTTTTGGGCTTTTGATTTCTTTGCCAAAAAAATTGCCTCCAGATGGAGAAGAGCAAAAGCTCTGATTGTAAGCCATTATGTTTTTACTGGCCTGCCTCCTCATCCCGTTGCCTGGTTTGGAATCTGTAAGCCAGTCCAAACCCTTTACCTCATTTTCTAGTACCAATTTGCTGCCTTACTCATCTTCCAGCTGCATGGGGCGAGGCAAGTCCCCTTGAAATTGAGCCCTCTGCCATTTTATAAACCAAGCAATAGCAGGTTCTTGGCCACAGAGGATCAATACCAGTGGGTCCCGTTTCTTTCCGTTCTTGAGTCACACCTAGCAGGTAGGCTGGTGTCTATCACATACTCGGTAGGATTAATCTGAGAATGAATCTGAGCAAGCCCGTTTAGCTTTGTGTAGACTTGTTGTTTCAGGGTTGCCTAATGTTCCGGCTGCTGCATGTGGAGTGCAGTTCATGTTTTAACCATATCTGACTTCACTGACAACAGAAATCTGGACGCTCCGGTTTCCCTTGGGAGGTGGTGAGATTGTTGGGATTGAAATTGGAGGAGAATACAGTGTCTGCATGTAATGCGCACAGTAACATTGTAGTGTGGGGGACTTGAGCCCACTTGACTGCTCTAGGATTAATGAACAGATTAGCTTTGGACGTTGTTTTCTGTGTCTGGAAGGAGGGGGATAATACCTTGTCAGCTTACTTGATGTAAACAGGCTTTTTTTGGTTGCGAGAGGGTTATTGGTAGATGATATTCAAATGTTAGTTCCTTTTTGTTTTTCCTGTGGAAATGGAAATTGGGATGATGTAAGTGATAGTGCATTTTCAAGCTGGGTACTAAAACAGACATGACATAGAGCAAAGTAATAATGTTTAATTACAGTTCATATTTGTATAGGGTTCGGTCATATATCCACATAGATGCGTAGTCATGTGTTGCATGAGCACAAGGATGTTCTGAGAAGTGCATCGGTAGGTGGTTTCTCATTGTGTGAACATCACCAAGTGTACTCACACCAGTGTGGGTGCACACGAGGCTGTGTGAGATGCGCCTGTCACTCCTGGGTGCAGACTACACAGGGACCACTGTACTGGGTACTGCTGGCAATTTGTAACATAATAGTAAGCATTTGTGTATTTAAACACAGGTAAAGTACACTAGAAGTGGGTATGGAAGGTAACATGGTACTGGTACCGACAGGGCATTTCTCCTGAAGGGGCCTGCAGGCCTGGAAGCTGCTCTGGATGAGTCAGAGTGAGTAGGGATTGAGCGTGAAGGCTGGGATATTGCTGTACAGCACTGTGGGTTTCATATACACTGTGCTACTCTAACTTTATTTTTGAAACTGTCTTCTTTCTTCAGTAATAATAACCTTAGCTTATTTTAACTTTTTGACGCTTGCAATTATTGCATAGCTGTGCAAAAAATATTGTATCCATATAAGCCTTTTCTGCTTTAAAATATTTTTGTCTTTTTTATGTATTTTATTTATGTATTTATTTTTGGTGCAGGGTCTCTATGCAGCTTGGACTGTAGGGATCTTCCTGTCTCATCCTCCCCACTGCTGGGATTACAGGTGTGTGCCACCACACCAAGTTTTGGTGGCTGGCATGGTGTGCCAGGGGCTGGCACAGCATACAGTACCCAGAATCAAACCTGGGTCCTTGTGCTTGCCAGGCAGGTGCTTAGACCGCTGAGCTATCTCCCCAGCCTAAATTTTCTTTTTAACTTTTAAAAGGTTTTTTTGTTGTTGTTATAAAAAGACATGCAGATTAGCCTTAGGATCAACATCATCGGTTTCGTGGGCTCCCACCTCCACATGTTGCTGCACTGGAAGGTCCACACATGCAGTAGGGCGTGGTGCTATGCTCTGTGACGACAAGACCTCGTGGCATCCTGGACGCTCTGCCCGCGAGCAGCGCTTGCTCTTCCCAGAAATGTGTGTGAAAAGAAGGCTTGCTTGCTTGGGTTTGGTTTGGTGTTTTGTTTTAATTTTTTTCCCTCTCCTTGTTGTAGACTTTGTTGTAAACAGATAATGCACCACGAACAGTCCTGTCTGTTAGTGAAAACCTTTTGGTGTTAAATTTGCTAAGAGGTTTGTCAAAACCTTCTGCTAAGTCCTTCATTGTGAATTTTCTTGAGTATCCTTTGTCTCCTGGAGGTTTCTTTTCTCCTGCCTTATCAGCTGTCTGTTTATATTTCATTGTAATCTTCTGGTGGCTTCATTGTTTAAGTGGTCTGTCTTTGACAAAAATGTTATGCATCACAGAAATATGGGTGCAGAAAGAAGTAGTTACGACTACATATATATGGTAAGAGAGACTATCAGAAATATTTGAGTGTAAATAGCATGACTACTGTCTTCAAGCCAATGCTAGATGGGTTGTGTAAAGGTACAAAAAGAAGTACTGGGATCAAAAAAGGATAGAGAAAATGGTGTGGTGGTGTATGCCTGTAATCTCCACACTCTAGGTAGGCTGAGGAAGGAGAATCATTGCAAGCTGGAGACCAGCTGGGCTACAAAGTGAGCTTCTCAAGGCCAACCTGAATAGCTTGACCCTATCTCAAAAAGGCAAAATAAAGCCAAAAGGCATAGATTAGCTTGCTCACTCATGGTAAAGTTGTCTGTGTTTGGAGCAGAAAGTTTAGCTTGGCTGAGGAGTACTTTGAATATACCGTACTACCCTGAAGGCATAGTTAGAAGAATAAGTCCTTGGAATTTCAGCAGCACAAACGGTAAGACAAAGGAGAATTGAGGCTTTTACGTGGTGCTTTATTGTAAAGAGGTTCTCAGAGTGAGAGACTGGTGGACCACGGAGTACTTATTAAAGTACATCAGAAAATACAGAATTGAAAACAATTGCCTACTAGTCTGAAAAATCAAAGCAGTCAGGTTTGGCTCTCCTCCTGTATAGCTTATTTTATTGAGAATGAGATATGTATCAGTATAGTATGTGATGTAATTTTTTAAAAGCATTTTTAATGTACTTTGTGAAAGAAGTAAAGCTAACACTAGAATCTATGACCACAGCAATATTTCTGAGGCTACATTTATTAAGCACATGTATTGAATTTCTTAAGAAAATGATGAAATAAATAATATTTGTAAATAGTGTGAAATTATGAAGTTGGCATCAGCATGGTTGAAGTTTGACAAATCAGGTAAAGATGAGGATTTGAATTTTTAAACCTTTCCCAAGTTTAGATTCCTGTGAAGTCTGATGTAAAATGCAGTATTAAAGGGGCTGAGGATGTAACTCAGTTGTAGAGCACTTAGCTAGTGTGCATGAGGCCTTGGGATGGACCCCCAGAGTCCCTGCCCACTTAAAAAATAGGCCATAAGATTTTCTTGCTGTCAGACCACTGGAGGTCGTGAGGGTTACCTTTCCCTGTTGGGGCCCCGTGACGTGGATGATAGCACAGCTTTGGGGATTTTTCTGGATTGTACTATTTCATCTTCTTCAAAAATAGTAGACATTACTCAGAATGCTAAAGTGACAGGGAAAATGTCCTGTTGGCATTGTTTATGTGGCATTTTGGCTGTGGCTGCCATGTGAAATAGGTAGGCCACATGCTTGCAGTGCCGAGGGTCAGGAACAATCTTGCGGCTTGGTCCCCAGCCTCCCACCCTCCCAGCCTGCAACTCGTCTAGACAGAATGGTGAGGATAAAGTTTTTATTTCCTATTGTGGGCTGGGAGATCAAAGGCATCTGTAAAGCCTCTGTCTGACCTTTCATGGTTAAAAATGAGAAAAGCAACTTTTTTAAATTATGAAAAAATAAACTTTTATGCTGTTTTCACATTTAAGAAATGTTTATGTTATCTCTGTCAGGTTACTATTGTGCAATGTAACACTTTTTTCTCTCTTTAGGTACTGGTTTTGGATTAGGAGTTGTTTTTTCTCTTACCTTCTTTAAAAGTAAGTGTGATTTTTACTGATTTTTTCAGTACAGGGCTGTATATGATGCACTGTGGGGGCGCTCAGGAAGGTCCCCCTGGGGGCGGTCACCCCGCCATTCAAGGGTTAGGTGCACAGAGCGTGGACTCAGGCGAGGTCAGAGCAGGTTGACATCTCCAGCGCTCCCTTGGGCATTGAGTCAGGGTGCCTGATATCTTAAATATGATATCACTAGAAAAGCCTGTACTTTATGCCAGTGAGTCAGTTGGCCAAACCTCCATGCTCACATATTTTTGATTAATTTTTTCTAAAGGAACTTGAAAATGAGAGTCTTGCTGGTAATAAAAACAAATGGACCAGAAATGCACATTCTCTTGGCCAAAAATTCTAAGCAAAGGGTGGGTAGTCTCCCTTTCATTTTGTGGAAGAGCATCTGAAGTTTGGATGTTGAGGAGAAGCCAGCAGGCTCACTGTGACCCTCCTCCAGGAAGGGCTGGCAGTTGCTGCATTCCAGGGAATCATAATTAACATGCACTGCTGATATGAAATACTTACAGACTGGTTTACATGAAAACCCTGTTTTACTACAACTAAAGTATATAAATATTGGTGAAATTCTTGTTTTTATAACCAAGCACCATATTGAACAGATTATTACTCCTGATAGGTTAAGAAATGAAACTGAACAGATGAGAAAAATGTTATTTATGGTTTTTATATTTCTCAAACCTAGCAGGTTGGACACTTAATGCACTTAATAAATGTGTCAAGTGATTTAATTTACTGATTAATCCCCTCTTTTGCGAGGAATGGTGATGAAATGATGCAGTATATGGTATTTTATATGATGCCTGCTGAATATTCATTGAACCCTAAGCAAATGTATTTAAGGGTTGGGAGCTTTATCTTCCTTTAATGGTTACCTGTTGGGATTTTCCTTTTTCTATCAATAGGAAGAATGTGGCCCTTAGCCTTTGGTTCTGGCATGGGATTGGGGATGGCCTACTCCAACTGTCAGCATGATTTCCAGGCTCCGTATCTTCTACATGGAAAATATGTCAAAGTATGTACAGAATTGATATTTCTCTTTCTTGCAGAGGAAAAAACAGTTTCTCCTGAAGCCCCGAAGAATTCTTTAGAGTGTATATGAGGAGTAAACTGTGTCATTGTGGTACTGCTGAGATCCTAATTGCGTTTTGGCCTTTAATGATGGTGACACTGCTTTGGTGCTAAAGGGTCTCCCCTGAGCCTTCCAGGTACATATTGTGTTCACTTACACAGTAGCTGACTGCAATTGAAGTTACTACCAATGGTCAAAGTATTAACTCTCTGTAAGTAGCACTTTTTGTTTAAGATCACAGAGTCTGTAAGCATTTCACACATACGAGCTAAACCTAAAGACTTCTGGGACTCTGCCAGTATTCTGGTTTTTTATTCAAGAAGGCATGTCTTATATGATTCTGCCAAAGTCCTCATCTGCCAGGGAGATAGCTCAGCTGCAATAGCGCCTACATGGCAAGTGCAAGGTCCTGAGTTCCATCCCCAGTACAAAACAAAAACAAAGTCCTCATCTGCAGGTGCCTTTCAGTAGTGATCCCAACAAGCAGGAAAAGAAGTGCGTGTAGCATGCTTCTTAACATTTCCTGGTATGACACGCTTTCTTTACATAATTGGTTACTGTAAAGTGTAAGGGGCAGAAGTGGGCGATTGCACTTAGGGACGGGTGGTATTGAGGGTCTGAAACAAATTGAGCAATGAAATACATGTAACAGGAGTTAGTGAAGTGGATTGTGTATTCTGATGGGTGTAAGCAGCAGAGGCTTTGGGCTTGCTAAGGCTTAACCTTTGCAGTAGCCTAGCCTTCGGGGAACAACTGCACAGCACCACATGCACTGAATACCCCCCTCCAGCTGTCCCTTGAGCTAGAACTATCACCAAGATGGGGCAGCATCTGGGCCAGGAGACTCACCTCTTGCTTCCTGTGAGATCTTGCATTGTTTCACTTCCAAACTTCCATTCTCCATCCATAAATATAAGGGCAGTAATCCCCTAGAGGCTTTGTGTATTTTCCTTGTTTAGAATGTGGGGGTGCTGGAGATTGAGCCCAGGGGCTTGTGCATGCTGAGCACATGCTGTACCACTGAGCTGTATCCCTGACCCCCAATAGGGTGGTGTGAGGATTAAATGTGCAAATGTTTTGTGAGCTGTTAGATGCCGTATATAAATAGAAGCATTGGTTGTTACGCTGAAGCCAACCAAGAAAGGGTGATTGATTTGTCCATTGTTTCACCATACTAACAAGTAGAGCAGAAAATGCGGCACAAATGCGTGCCCTAATTTGGTCAAGAACTATAGCCGCAGAGTCACAAAATCTCAAGTAACAGTTCCCTACCACCCGACCCGTGTGTGCTGGGAGTGGGGGCAGGGAACGCTGGTGTTCGTGAGCCGGCTCTGTGCCAGAGCAAGAGTGAGGTCACCAGGGGGCCAGTGCACACGGAGGTGTGGCTGGAGGGCATCAAGCTGATGACAGGCTGTTCCCCTTCCCTGTCTCTTCACCCTCCTGGCAGCAGTGCTGAGTCTGGAGAATAGAAAGGAGCAGGGACCTTCAGGTCTCCTATTGTTCAAAATGTTTCCATTGTTCCAAACTAAGTTGTCATGAGTAATGGCTGGAGAGATTATATGCATATTAGAAGTTTAATAGCTGGGAGTTACTGTGGAAAATATTGTTATATTTTTTTACAGCCTGCGTATTGCTCCAGAATGGCCTTGTAACTTCATCCGAACTTGAGTCTGTGCCCTACTGTGGTCATTCTCCACTCTCTGAAAAGAGGAACAGACCCCCATCTTGGGCTATGCAGGGTCGTTGTACTGGGATGGCTGCTTGTTGAGCGCCTGCTGTGCCTTGTGGACCATCCTAGGGCTTTATCTTCATGTTCTTTCTCGCCACACTGCCCAGTGGATTATGAGAGAGATATAATTATCCTTATTCAGCAGAGAAGAAAATAGAATCTTACTGAGGTTCAGAACTTGCCAGAGATCATGTTGTCAGTAGGCTGTTGGCTCCAAGCTGTGCTGTTTGCGCTCAGCTGTGAGCTCAGGGATGACAAACCTTTTAGGCTGTCAGTGGTACGTGCCACGGGACCACTGCCATGGCCCTGGGTGGATTTAGGGATAGAGTTGCCAGGACTGATCACTTTCCACTCCTTTCCTGTCCTTCTCCAGGACTAGGGGAGCACTGCTATGACTGGAGGCAGGCATGTGGCTTCCTGTGAGACGGACTGGGCCCTGTGACCCCTGGTGACGCTTAGAGCAGTGGCTGTCAGTGTTGTCATAGTGCTCCCGCACCATCCTAACCTGAGTGTCCTTGCTTCACAGGAGCAGGAGCAGTGACCCGCACCGAGAACATCCCAGTGGGAGCAGGAGAAATCATGTTTATTCCTCAGGAATACTGAAGTGCCCTGGAGTAAGCGGACGCTCTTCTGTAGCAGTAATGCTCTGTACCAGTAATGCTTTGAACTCCAGCACACTGTTTATGTATTGGAAACCAAGTTTGTTTCTTGTTTTGTATTTTCTCTCTGTAAATTGTAAGGAGGTGATCTTAAATAAATTTAAAAAGGAAGTCCAGTGCCCGGCCTTCATTTCTTCCCCTGGTTGCTGCTGCAGAGCTCTTCTGCGGCCACTCCTTGCCACCTGCCCCTGAAGCATAGCCCAGAGCTGTTTGCCCCATAGAGGCCGGACACGTCGTGGAGCTTTCCTCACTGCGGCAGCTCGAGGCTTGTTGCTGTTCTCACCAGCAGACCTGGCAGGGCACATCTCAGCTGTGCCTGCTGCACCGAGGGCAAGCAGCTGTTGTGTTAGCGGACTTGAGTGTAACTGCGTGGCTCCCACCATTGATGTCAAGCCGCATAGCATCATGGGGCGTGGCACAGCCCAAGCTTCAGCCCAGGGTTTTTCTCTTGGCAATAGAGCGAGCTGGGGCACACGCCCCTGGCTGGTAGGCCACAGATGGGGTTGGCTTTATCCTCAAATAGCAGCTGAGGCTTGAGGACAAAGGGGCCGTATCTGGTACATCTCTGTAAATTTATTCTGATAGTTTCACTTGAACTGTGTAAGTGGAACACAAAAAGAGTGTACTGGCAGTTCCTTCTGGTAATGTGTTGAATCTCAGAGCTCAGGTTTTCATGTTTTATTTTTCTCCTTATAATACAAGTAAGATGGGCAGAGCTTGATCCCATTGCCTTTTTCATAAATGTTAATCGAGCATTTTCTGTGGTAAGGACTATTGTAGGCAGCAGAGATAAGTGAATGTGAATGCACTGGCTTGTGCTGCTTAAAGTCTGATAGAAAGACACGCAGATACTGGTGCCACCGAGAGTGAATTGTTTTAGCAGAGGTGGGCTGTGGATATGAGGTACAGGGAGCACAAGGGACAAGGTGCACCCGAATGTCCAGGGGACGGCCTTACAGAGTACAGAAGAGGCAGAGAGGGAAGGCAGCTCTGTGAGGCGCAGAATCATGAAAGTACCCATCAGAGCTGGAAATCTGCAAGTAATTCCTGCTGTCAGAGTGTTGAGGGGCAAGGGGGGGATGTGGTGGGCTAGGCCGGATAACCACCATGCGTCATCGCCTGACCCCAGCTTTGCACATCCACAGGGACTTCGAGCTCATGCTGTGATGCGTAGATGCAGAGTAAGAAGCCCCTGCCCCTTTCCCTCCCTCCTCCCCCTGCACCCACTCCCCTTTCCTGGAGGTTCTACTACTCAGGACCTGAGCAGACAGTAGTGGCACTCTGCCAAAGGTGGGCCGAGCCCAGCATTGTAAAGTCACGGCCATGGCATGCCCCAGCTGCTCAGCTGTTTTTATGTGGCCCTCTTCATTCCACAATCAAAGCAACCCATATAATTAAAAGAAAAACAACCATGTGACCTGATTCATCTCCTCCACTCCTCTGTGGAGTCAGGATTTGGGCATGTAGCTCAGTGGTGGAGCACTTGCCTAGCATGTGCAAGAAGGCCTTGGAAATGATCCCCACTACCATAACACACACAAAAAGTATTCCCTCCATCATCGTTTCCACTTGTTTCCTCATGCTTGTTTTATTTTTTTAATTATTATTTTTGTCTTTTAGGGAAGGGAGTACAGGGTGTTCAGGGTCTCACTACTAGATGAGACTCAATGATCCCCCTGCTTACAGCCTCCCAAGAACTGGGATTACAGGCACACACCACCACACCCAGCCTCAATTGCCGTCTCAGCGCACCCTGGGGCGGGTTGCTTTAAAAGTTAGTATTTTCTCCCCACTTTTTCCATCTTCATTTAGGCAGAGATAAGAATAACAAATCTCCATCCAAAAAAGATGAAAAACAGCATGCTCACAACTTTTCTAGATGCATTAGAATTGGGCCGGCAAGATAGCTCAGTGGGCTTTTAAAGCACCTGCTTGGATGCATTAGAATAATAAAGCAGTTAGGTGTCCACCATTTCTCCCGGGGTAGAACAGATGCAGTGAGACCTACAGATCCCTACAGTTAGGGCCGTTGGCATCGAACTTCCCTATCCTGTCAGTTGCTAGGTTTTGAGGCATCCACTTGAATGGGTCCCTTTGCCCTGCACCTTGAAGCACCTCTAAATTGCTTCGAGGAAATAACTGATCAGGCTCTGGGAGGAAGCAGTTTTGGGCAACAGCCAGAGAAGGAAGCAGGCATTCATTGTTTGTTTGCTTTAGTCCCCGAGTACTTTGTATTCCCACCTTGTAGCCCTTAGCAAAGGCTTGCCGGAAGCAGAATGTTTGATCTCATCCCTCCTATGCCTCTGTCTCAAATCAACCTTCGGAAAGGTCCAGCTTGTTGCCAAAGGCAACTTTAAATTTTATTAGCAATTCAAGTCCTCCCGGGTCCTGTTCCCTTGTGGGGTTGAGAAACTTTGACTTTGCCTCTTGTCTGCCCTTCTGGAACCAAGTACAAGGAAATTCATGGGGTGGGGGGGATGTGTCTCAGAACCCAGCTGGGCATAAGATACTAGGGTAATGCTGTGGCGCCCCAAAAGGGGCCTACTCTGCCAACATACATAAATACATACAGTCCAAGCTCGATGCTGTATAATTTGGCCTCAAACAATATGTATTTTGAACTCATTTAGGTGAATAACTTTGGCATTCCAAGTACCCACTGGGGAGACTTCACCGGGCACGTTTGCCGCGTGCAGAAGTGCGCCTTTGTCCGGAGCAGTGGCCTCGAACACACTCTGCTGAGCTGTCTGCTTTAGTGAGTGTCATCCTCTCACCAATTGCAAAAGACTCAAGAATGCAGTCTCGAAATCCTGCTTATAAGTGCAGAGATTGGGAATGAAGATGACTGTGTAGTTTTGTGTAGTTTTGCTTTTTTGTTTTCCCAAACCTCACTGTTTACTTTTTTTTTTTTTTTTTATGTAACCAAGCCATAATTGCATTTTACTTGTCATGGTTCATTCTGATTGTATTGTTGGAAGGACTGTTTCTGATCCTGTCCAAATAAACTGCTGCAAAGCATTTCCACAGTGATGTACTCCGTGGGGCTGGGGCAGCTTTATCCTGAGCGGCCCTGAGACACAAATAGTTTCCTCGCTCATGCATGCTTTCTAATTACATAGATGTGAAGTGGTGGAAGGGAGAAAGTGGAAATTCGAAGTACCAAAAGGAATGCTAAATTTAGAATAATAAGCTCATCTGGACGCCATCACCACTTTTTCCATTAAGTGTACTGTGAGCACCGCTCATCCTGGACACTGAAGGACGTGTCGAGGCACACAGCGACTTGGGCAGGAGCGAGTAGAGCTGCGTGGTGAGTTTGCGTCGGTGACATGTTACTGTGGTAAAGGATCTGAAGGCAGAGGGCAGACCTGACGAGGGCGAGGCCGGGCAGGAGACTAGCATGGGAGTCAGGCCCCCGCTCTTGCATCTACCCCATGCTTGTTTGTCCAGTCTTTTTTTAAAAAATTATTTATTTGTTTGTACATTTATTTATTGTGTGTGTGTGTGTGTGTGTGTGTGTGTGTGTGGCCAGCTCAGCCCACCAGGGGGCGGGCTGGCTGGCATGTGGTGCTGGGGGATTGAACCGCGGTCCCTGATGCTTTTGCTAAGCTTGTTCTAAGTAGGTGCTTTAGACCACTGAGCCATCTCTCCAGCCCCGTTTGTCCAGTCTTGAGGGAAGTTCTTTTTTTTTTTGGTGGAACTGGGGATTGAACTTGGACCCTTGCACTTGCCAGGCAAACGCTTATTCTACTGAGCCATCTCCCTGGCTCCAGAAGTTCTTAATTTCGTCCAACACCAGGTCTCCCATTTATAAAGAGGGCAAAAGAATCTATAAGCTCCAAAGGGCCAGGTATATGTGTTACCACATACATAAAGAGGTTGCTGGGGTGAGGGATGCAGGTCAAAGGTCGAGTGCTCGCCTGGCACCCTGGGTTTGATCCCAAGCACTGCAAAATAAAAAGAGATTGTTGCTATTGGAATGAAAATACAGGGTGCATGTTACTATTGATGGGTAGTCGGGGGACTGTTTCAGAGCAGAAAGGACATAATTCTTGGCTGTTAGAGTTCAAATCAGTGAGATCCAAGGGCAAGAAAGCTTTTTTTTTTTAATAATTGATGTATTATCTGTGTTTATTGTTCAATCTGTTGCTCAGATTAACATATAGTTATGTAAGATTGGACATATGATTACATATTACCGTTTGCTTTTTAGAAACTTTAAATTTTTGTTCTTGTCCCTCTTGTTTTTATTTTTGTCTTTTGGAGAAAACATTTCAAGTGGTCTTGTCCCCGCTCTTTACTTTGATCTCTTCAGCTTTTAGAAAGTTCCAGCTTGTTGCCAGAGGCATGTGTTCTGTTCTGTAAGTTTCATTAGAAATTCAAGTCCTCCAGGGCCCTGTTCCCTTGTGGGGTCGTGAAACATTTTTTTTTTTTTTGAACTAGGGATTGAACTCAGGCCCTTGTGCTTGCCAGGGAAGCACTTATTCCACTGAGCCATCTCCCCGGCCCCCGTCGTGAAACTTTTGACTTTGCTTCTTGTGTGCCCTTCAGGAAGGAAACTAAAAGTTGCTGAGAAACACTCCTCCATTTTCATAGGTGAATTTTAGTTTCATTAATTTTCACTTTCTTAGGAGTGATGCCATTGTAGCGTCTTGCCTTTTGAAACTTCACACTAGCTTAAAAAAGAAAGAAAGAAACCCCACTTAATTGCCAAGTGTGTAGGCTCTGTGCTAGGCTAGGAAGGGAAGGAGGAAAAAGATGCTGAAGAAATAGAGTAAGAGGGGCCGGGGAGATGGCTCAGTGGAATAAGTGCTTCCCTGGCAAGCGCAAGGGCCTGAGTTCAATCCCTGGTTCTGCCAAAAGAAAGAAAGAAAGAAAGAAACAGGGTGGGAATATGAGGACTCAAGCTTTTGTCTTGGTAGGAAACAGGACTGTTGCTGAGTATTTGCACCTGGGAAAATGGGTCTCAGTTGTTTGGTTCTCACTGGAGGGTCT